TCAGGAAAACTTGGGTTTAGCATTTTTCTAAAACAGATCTTTCAGCAATGAATGCTGTATGCTTTCCTTATTTTGAGAATGCCCATATTTTACCCTATTTCCTGGGTGATTTTTGTCAGTGCCCATAGAATTCTGGATTGGCTTCTCAGTTCTTTTAACACCCAACTGGTATCATTTATTGTATTCTGTCCTTTGTGGTTTCTGGTGAGAAATCAGTAGTTATTTGAACCATTATTCTATTGGTGAGTTTTCTTTGTTTGGTTTATTTTGCTTGCTTGGTTTTCTTTGAACTGACCCTTTTTTGAGGTAATCTTCTTAGATCTGTGAATTAATATCATTCTGCAAATCTGAAAAGGTTTAGTAATTATTGTTACAGTTTCCTACTTCTCATCTTCTTGGAATCCAGTGATAGATATGCTAATAAACCTTTGCTATTTGCCCACCTGTCTTTAAGATTCTATTTAATGCCATCCAGGTATTCTGTTGTCCCACAAGGTAGTTTCCCTCCTTAAGTTAACTCTTTTCCTTGTCACCACCATTCAGCTTTTGGTCCAATTCAAGAATTTTTTGTAGAGACAGGGTTTCTCTGTGTAGCTTTGGAGCCTATCCTGGCACTTGCTCTCACAGAGATCCACCTGCCTCTGCGTCTGGAGTGCTGGGAATAAAGGTGTGCGCCACCAATGCCCGGCTTCAAGAAATGTTTTTAACATGCTGTTTTATTGCCCTGTACAGTAAAGGAACTTCTGGAGGCATTACCACCCCTGACTTCAAGCTCTATTACAGAGCTGTAACAGTCCTGAAAACAGCTTCGTACTGGCACAAAAATAGACAGGTAGACCAATGGAATAGAGTTGAAAACCCTGATATTAACCCACACACCTAAGAACACTTCATTTTTGACAAATAAGCTAAATTTATACGCTGGAATAAAGAAAGCATCTTCAACAAATGGTGTTGGCATAACTGGATGCTGCCATGTAGAAGACTGCAGATAGATCCGTGTGTATCGCCATGCACAAAACTAAAGTCCAAATGGATGAAAGACCTCAACATAAATCCAGCTACACTGAACCTCTTAGAAGACAAAGTGGGAAATACCCTTGAATTAATTGGTACAGGAGACCAATTCCTGAACATTATATCAGTAACACAGACACTGAGATCAACAATTGTTAAATGGGACCTCCTGAAACTGAGAAGCTCCTGTAAGGCTAAGGACACAGTCAGAAAGACAAAACGGCAGCCCACAGAATGGGAAATGATAGTTGCCAACCCCACATCTGACAGAGGGCTGATCTCCAAAATTTACAAAACTCAAGAAGCTAGTCTCCAAAACACCAAATAATCCAATTAAAAAGTGGGGTACAGAACTAAATAGACAATTCTCAATAGAGGAATCTAAAATGGCTGAAAGGCACATAAGAAAGCGCTCAACATCCTTAGCCATCAGGAAAATACAAATCAAAACAGCTCTGAGACACCATCTTAGTCCTGTCAGAATGGCTAAAATCAAAAACACCAATGATAGTTTATGCTAGAGAGGATGCGGAGAAAGGGGAACGCTCCTCCACTGCTGCTAGGAGTGCCAACTTATACAGCCACTTTGGAAATTAGTATGGTGACTCCTCAGGAAAATGGGAATCAATCTACAATCCAGCAATTCCACTCTTAGTCATATACTCAAAAGATGCACATTCATACAACAAAGACATCTGTTCAACGATGTTCATAGCAGCATTATGTGTAATAGCCAGAACCTGGAAGCAACCTCGATGTCCCTCAAGTGAAGAATGGATAGAGAAAATGTGGTACATTTTCACAATGGCGTACTACTCAGCATAAAAAAAGAAAACAATGGAATCTTGAAATTCGCAGGCAAATGGATGGAACTAGAAGAAACCATTCTGTGTGAGGTAACCCAATCACAAAAAGACAAACGTCGTATGTACTCATATGTGGACATTAGACATAGAGTAAGGGATTACTATCCTACAGTCCACACTGCCAGAGAAGCTAGTAAACAAGGAGGACCCTACGATTTATACTTCAGCTCCTGTGTGTTCATGTAAGTTTTGGTCATTAGAAGATCTTGTTCTCCTGGTGTTATCCATGCCCGGAGAAGGGGAAATGGTCAAGATCCCCTGAGCAAATTGAGAGCACAGAAAGAGGGGGGAGGGAGCTACGAGAATGAGAAGGGGAGAAGAGGAGGGATGAGGAGGACATGAGCGAGCAGAAAGCTTGAGTCAGGGGAAGAATAGAAGAAAACAAGAATGGAGATACCATAATA